GTCTACCTCCAAGCTCTTTATCTTTGACCAACGTTACAAAGGGAGATAATACCGAAGCTCAGCGGCCTGCTCGCGGTCTCGAGCTTGTTCGCAAAACCAGATTCGCAGGGTTTGATCGTCGGGATCTTATTTAAGTGGCCATTCACGCCGGTGAATACCACCGGAGTGGGCGAAGTGTGCCTGACCTGTTTTTCGAGTAGCAGAGAAGTCTAAATGGGACTTGGCGATTAATCGCTCTCCGGATGGAGCGTGTCAAAATCATTTGCAAACTGATTCCTCTGCTATCGAATTTTCAGAATATCAGGTTTTCTTTTTCCACTCCTCCCTGCAGGATATTTCCTGGAGAAAGGAACGGGTCAGGAGTCAGGTCAGGACTCAGCGAGATCGTAAATTAAGTCATGGGATAATTGACTGATGTCTCGGGGTTGCAGGTCTACGTAGACCTATGCACCATAGCCCGTTTCAGGGCTGTACAAAATAAAGAGATTTGTTGCTTTACATATTCGCTGCTAGTAATCTTTTCACTTTCTTAGGCCCAAAAATTTGGTAAAAAGAAGATAAAAGAATAAAATAAAATTCTAATTGGTTAAAAATTATAAAATTGGTTTCGAGATCAAGAAACTGCGAGTATTGTGAATAAAATGTGAAATTCGCATGAAAGATTGTAAGTACGTTCATAATACTAATTATCAATCCAACGAATGTAGAAATAGTGATTAAGTTTACAATTATTATGTAATTATTTCACTATACTATATACACTGAATTATACGTTTCTATTTTGAAGATACCGTACAGAGTATTAAATATTTCTTCATTTCGTTCTACAGCCCTGACCGTGCTTTCGTATCCCGGTGTATTCGCGTTCCCGTCGATTCCTTTATCTCACCACCCAAAATATGACTACTTGGACTAGCAGCGAATTTCACGAGCTCCAATATACCTTCCACGCATTCCGCTACAATATACACGTGAAGATATAACAAAAATCCACCGATTGACATTTTCCCATCGGGGTCCCGAAATTCATCTAAAAATACAACCCTTTCGGGCTGCCGAACGTCACGCAATCTCTCAAAGCGCCGTCGAGGCGTTCCCAACATTTTTCCCGCTTTCCAACCGAGTAAGTTTTCTCCGTTCATTTTTCTCCTGCGCGCGATTTCACCGCTTTCCCTCCAACGAGAGTCTGTAACTAACAAAAATCCAGCGTTCGTTTTATTCGTGTAACCACGTTCTCTCCCTGTCTATCCACCGTCTTTAAGGAAGATCCCGTTTCTGTTTACAGGCAGACTATTTTACCCCGTGCTGCTTTCCCCGATAATGGCTTTAAAGATGCACATTAACGTCAATAGGCAGAGATACCCTTTGAAAAGTCTGCGAGGTCGGATAGGCGGGGTCGATCACAAAGAGATCGCCTTATTACCTGCCCGTATCGACTAGGTCCTATCTTTATGCCGGCACGAAGCATCAGCGCGCGGATAATACACGCGGGCAAAGAATAGCAAGTGTTCAACGTCGAGGGGAGAATTTATTCGACGGTAGCCGGCTGTCCTGGGCAGTCTGCCATTTATTTCCTAGCCGATTAATAACTTTCCTGCGTGAACGATTCCCTTTGCCAATGGACGAAAGATGTTTCGGAATTTCCAGGTGCTTTGGAAGCGGACTCGAATGCGGGATTTTAGGTTTGGAGCTCTCGAATCAAGGTGGATGCGAAGATGCGACGGAGACATGTCCCGTTGTCAGTTTGAAACAGGTTCTGGCTCACGGCAGGCTAGAAATAGAGTCTGTTTAGATTTCATTTTTCATCTGCTAAATTGGGTAAAGCGCAGATAGAGAATCTATGTATAAAAATATATATTCGTTTACCTTCTTACGTAAGTTTTAATCTTTTCTCTCGCGTTAAGAGCGGATGTGCTGCGTTTCGCAGTAGCCTTTGAAAAATTCTCTTTGGGCCACTGATGAAGTTTTGCAGAATTTTTCGAAGAACTAGCCAAAAAGACAGGCTGGATGTATACAGGAAGCATGTATTTTTTAAAAATTAGTGTTCATTTTTATCCAGGTGGGAGCGTGGTTATACCCGCTTATACGTGTGTCCGTTTTACCTGGAAATGCCTCGAAAAATGTACGTAACATGGAAAAACGTAATGATAACGACTTGGAGAGAGTGTGGGAAGAACGTGCTTAAATTTTCAAATCCCCGTGTGAATTTTATATCTCTAGTTAGATATTCTCACAATCGACAGGGGAATATTTATGTAACGCTACTTGCGTTTCTTGCATAAGCGATTATCACGATATAAATTTTCAATGTTTACATGTAAGCTGCATTAGGGTTACCTAATGCAGTACCACAGGTAGATTACTCTGTTTGATATCGTACCCGTGACTGTAAAAAAAGGTGACGTTAAGTTTGAAAGCTACCTCGATGATAATTCATGCGAAAAGCAGCCATTTTTCGAAAAACAACATCGATTCCACGTCGGCTACGCGAAATAAGAAATATCTCTGTTTAAAATTTTAAATATCACCGTTATACAATCCTCCTGGCGTCCTGTGACATTTATCTAAAATATTGTCCGTGTCAGCTTTATTTTTAGAGATATTTACGCGTTTCCAGGTAAAACGGAGTTACTTATTCATCTACATCACACGGCCTTAATTAAGGTTATTTATGTGTGCTGTATATAGCTGCACACTGTGCAGCCTGTAGTACCAGATTTGAAGAAAAGTCATTTTAATATAGTTAATTGGGTTAAATATAATTAACAAGCTGAGTATCTGTCGTTACTCTCGGCGTTGCATATTACGACCTTCGTTTGAAATATAAAAAGAATTTCCTTCCGATGAAATAAAATTCACAGCTGCTATAGTCACTGTCAAGAAACAGATAACACGTAGAATCAGAATTAACGCGAAAATAAAATTAAGAAAAATCAGAGTCCCGAATGGCTCAACGGAAGCTTCATCACCTGGACTGACGGAAACCGCCGGTGTCGACGGTGCCCCGCCGATTAATTAAATCCACGACGACGAGATACGCGTAATTCCCAGGCTAGACTAGAAATCGTTTCCATTAATCCGTAATACACGTTTTCCATGCGACTCGGTGCGCCGAAGAAGAAAATTACGTACGCAAACACTGGCCGCGTTTTTACACCGGAAACCGGTCTTCGGCGAGTGAAAATTGCGTATAATTGTTGTGCCGATTAGCGAAACCAGTATGGAAGGAAACAGGAGGCTTGTCACAACGACAGCCATTTCGTGAAATCGATAAACGTATTATATCTGGTTCTTTTCCTGCAGATCGGTCTTAACCTTCCATAGAACGTATTAATATTTCAACGGGTCGTCTAAACTTTATCCAAAGAAACTGGTATTATTCATCGACGTGCAAATTCGGCATGTAAAATGCAACTCCGAGTCCATCTTAGGACTCGGTTTAGCCCAGCTACTCGAAACAACTCGGCGAGAGATTTCGAAGAAGTTATCAGTGTTTGCCTTGGGGTATCTAATCGTCCCGGAAACTAATCGCGGAGAACAGTTCTGGATGTGGTGTGTGCATTGAGATTGTTGAAACAGTCTAATCCCTTTTCCTAATACGCGAAGAAGGAGTCGCTCGGATATGGAAATGGATTATCGAGCGCAAAACGGAGACAGCCGGATGAGTGGTCGAGATCTGGGCAGGCTGATACGAATGTTGTACCCTGAGTATGATCCGTATCTGAAGAAGGTGAGAGAAAGAGTAGCTAACAAGTACTTGACGCCCTCGGGCCGTGAAGAAATTTAATCTTGAACCGGGTGAAATGGTTGTTGCGTAATGGCTCAGGTCAATCTGATCTCTATCAGCAGAGCAAGTGAAACGTGTACACTTTATCGGAATGAACATACGGCCGCGATGAAATCTGCCGGAGGCTCCTTGGTACGTATCTTTTCAGCTATATTTTCTTTCAATCTACGACTTTGCTAACAGATCGCTTCGTCGAGAGTTTTGGAGACTATAGTGTTCCCGTCTTTACTAGTTAGGTGTGCGTGATGTAACTCGTCAGGTAGCACGAGTGCTTACGAATTTTTAGCAATAAGATGACCGAAGCATTCGAAGACGATTCTCCGCTACCTCGAAATAGCTAGCAGCAGAAAATCCTCTCTATATTCGAATATCTCTACGTCTAAAGCATGATCTGCTGAGCAAAGCCTTATCGATGAATCCAACTAGCAGACTCCAGACAAAGGGATCATTCTCGTTTCCTTTCGTCTTTTCTTCTACAGGTATTCAAACTACGCTTGCCTCTATCTATCGGGTCATCCCGTATGTAAAGCGACTCTCTCTTTCTACAGGGTGTACCAAATTTTGATTAAATTCGCTTCGATTCGAGGAACCAGCTTGTAACTCTTCGTACGGTACACCCCGAGATGACAATCGATAATGTATTTTCCATTTGAAACTCGACTCGCAGAGTAACAACGTTGCTTACGAGATAACCCGATGCACTCTCCATACTCTTTAATCAGCTTCCTAATCCTATTCCTCTAATCTCATACCCTGCAAAAGGGTACTCTACTCGACCTATTTTCTACAGCGCGATCCTTCAAAAACTACTCCGTTCTCTACCTGTCTTCGACTCTCAGCCGACTGCAAACACAGAAAACAGCAATGTTAAACCACAAGATCGTCCACGGTACAGCTTCATCCCGCCCGATTAAACGTTATATCCCGAAAGCCTGCCTAAACCGCGTTTACCCTAAATCGTGTCCCACTTGCAGCTACGTCGGGCCAAATAGGAACTCACCCGGGGATCCTCGGGATATTAATCATTAGCGCGTGCCCGGTTGGCTTCTTGGCGAAACTCGCGCCACCGTCCGAAGCTCCCAACCCCCGTCAGGGAGTCCTGAACTAAGGGGTTGAGTTCTTTGTCGCGGAGTAACGAAGAGTCCAGGCCAGTGCCCGGCCACGGCGCAGCTATGCTAATTAGTCGGAGCAATTTGATGAATATTCAACTTACCCGAGGGTGGAAAGAAAACCGGAGACGCTGCCTTCGGCGTACAGGCTGACGATGTCGCCCAGGTGAAGGAAGCTCGCCGAGCCGAGGATCTCGCCCATCTTCGCGCTGTTGTTTCCCAATCTCTCTGTCTCGCTTTCTCTCACGCCTCTCTTCCCTTCGCTGCCTCAAAGTCGGAGAAATTCAACCTCTTAGCCGAGTGAATTATTCATGGCTCCACCTGCGGGGGTAGAAACGATCGTTAGTGCTCGTGGGAGCTAAACAGAGCGTAGTTGCGGATATTCCACGGGGATGTTTCTTTATTCAAAATCGGACGAGACTTTGAGGTTGATTAGAACAGGTTGACCAGAGTCGGGAAGGAATTTTCTGGTTTATTCTTTCTAGGTGTAGCTTTGGGTCATCGGATGCTTGCTATTTATTCTTTGGACGTTCCTGGTAGGGTTCTACTTTGCTAGACATTGGATTAAACGATTGAGGATAGATTAGAATTACGCAATATTCTATAGTATTCTAGATAAATATTGGGTTTCAAAGGTAGAATGCTCCGCGAGGATGTTTCTTTACCCGAGATTGCAGGAAATGTTTGAGAACGATTAGAATGCACGGATCTATGTCGAGAATGGGGTTTAGTACTGGTTCACATTGTAACTATATTTTGGATAATAAACTTGTGTTTATAGTACGTTCCACGTTGAAGTTTAGCAGCGGAAGCTTGCCGTGACTGGCTTCTGTCTGAACACCGAATTGCAACAAACCTTTCATTGTTGATTGTTTAACGTGCTCCAGGTGTATTTTAAACAAGCTAAGTATGTTTATCGTATATACCAATTCAAATATTCGAAGTGTACGTATCGAGTGTAGAAGATAACCAAGTTTCAAAAGCTGAACAATAACGATTCTTCCATGTACGTGCTTTTACGTGATTTTTCTCTATCTTTAAAAATTAACGCTGACTTGGACAGAAATTTAATTACGTAACGTCCAATTATTTCCATGGAAATTTATCAAAAGGTGCATATGTAATTAGGTGTTTTCACTGTACGACGAAGCAGACTCTACCATGTGAAATTATTTATCGATCAGCCGGGGAACGATTTACAAACAGGAAGAAAGTCGGCACAATAACCGGATAAATAATAATCGGGTAAATAATATCCGGATAAACCGGGTAAATCGCGTTTCCCAATCGAGTAAACGCGACGGATTAAAGCTGTCCCGCTAACCAGCAATTTGTATATTTCTAGTTATTACCGCAACCATCCAATTTCAACAGAGATTTTTGCGTCCCCTGGGACTTCCGGCCGCTGTCGACGTGTAACGCGATCCTCTAAAATAGGTCAGCTTAAACTCGATTTTACGATGGAAATTGCCATCTTTCTCTTGTCCGACTGAATCCACCCCGAAAACGATACGAAGGAAATTGGTTCGCCCTGTATTTCCTATCAGCAGACCGAGCTTACTCTTCAGAAGTGCTTTTCAGAGGATGAAAAATGGAAGTGGAGTATAATTGAAGAGGATGAGATTAGGTCCTGGTTATTTATCGAATGTTATAAGAAGCTTGCTAGGAGTACGCTTCATTACAGGCTCCTATTAGAAATTCAATGGTTCGAACAGTATCCTCTGGTAAAATAAAATACTTAAATCTACAGCAGAGTTTCTCAAGCCTTTTTGGCTTGTCACTCCATTCTCCTCCTATTTTCTATTTATTTACGAAGTTATTTATTTATTTATGGACATTGACGTGGATATAGTCGTGGCTTTGAGAGAGAGAGAGAAATAAACTCGACCGAGAATCCTGAGTTGGATTTCAAAGATTTGCAGAAATGCGGTGGAAAATAAATACCACTAAGTTTATTAAATATAATTAATTAAACGAAATGAACGTGGCCTACTTATGAAGTTCGCGACACCCCAATTCTCTCATTTTTCGCGTGATTCAAAGGATTGTTTGTTGGGCTCCCTGCGAGGCCATACGAACCCCGTTGGGAAACCCTGATCTAGAATATAAAATATTATTCAGAAGCCTGAAGTAAAATACGATCGATATTAGCTTTTGAAGTATACTTTTGCCTAAGTACAATATACAACCTAATCGTCGTAAAGTGATTTAATTTTCTCGAACAAAGTTAACGAGTTAGTCCTTCAATCCTAATTAAACTCAGCTGGTCAAAATAACTCGTGATTCCAAGCCTGTCCGCGATACGATAAAAATTATTATTTGCCCTTCTGGATCGAAGTAAACTATGCGAAAGCTATTTCACCCGTCGCGGGTTGGCAAACGTTTTTCCTAGATCCACCTTTGAAAGATCCTCCGGATCACGTTGAACTGTGTACCTCTCGTTAAATCCTCGCGAGCTGTGCAAACGTTTCCGCCATATTTCCCATCCAGGAACATTATCATCGATTTCTTCTGCAAAACTGAGCCCACATCTCGCTGTTTACACCCAGGCCTAAGGTTGAAGGTCAGTTTATTTTCAGAGATAGCCACGGTATTCTTTCCTCGAGCGAAGACAACGCGATTAAGGATCGCTTCTTCGCCTTCTACGTAGATCCACTCCGATCGCCTCTCGAGCGAATCTCGGGGACCAAAGAAACTCTTCTCTGATCAGTTAATTAATTCTCGACGAACTTTCCCGTTGCTCCGAACGAAACTTCGATTCGAGTTCGCGATCGGCTCGCAATCAGATCCTCTTGCCCGCGATCCCCAGCGAAACGATCGATCGATAGATCTCTTCTAATCCCGCGAGTTCCGAATCCGTCGACAGTGATTTATCCTTCATTGATAAATCGAGGATACCCGATGGAATTAACCTTCGTTGAGGCAGATAAGAGACGAAAATAAAATAAAACAATCTAGCTAAACGAATAAAACGATCGATCCTCATCCGAGCGAATTTAGCACTCTAAGTGCCATGACGAATAGCGGGATGCAGAAGCGTTAAATTCAGACGTTAAACTCGAGTTGCAGCTTATCGGCGAGGAAAGTGGAATGAGAAGAGAAATGGGATGAAGAAGCTGGCGAATTATAAAACGTATTGCTACCGGTCTACCCGACACCTCGTCGTTAGATGGCGAATAAATTTCTTCCTTGTATTTTATCACTGTGCCTTAAGCCAGCTGCCTTCGCGGTGATTCAAACGTGGATTATCACCTCTCATCCCACTTATAACGAATTAATTCTAAGCTTCTCAAGTACGAAACCCTACAATGTTCGTTTGAGAAGAAACTTCTCGCTATCAGTTTGATAGGCACGATGAACCGATCTTCCTTCGCGGGGGGGATAGATGGTATTCGATTGAAAGACGCGGCAATCGAACGCAACGATCGTTTAGCGTTTATTGTGCAGCAGGTTTCTATCTCCGGGCAGCTTCATCCGGCAATTTGTAGCTGTATTGTCGAGCAATTAAATCGTTCGAAGCTCTAGCGTGACTACTTTGCAGCACGGAGATACGCACCAGAGGGTATTATGATTTGATTTCAACGCTGATATTATACGAGCACCGTTTTCATCGATGTTCCAGCTGCTTGATTTTTGTTTCAAATAAGGATTATGGCATAAGAAGCG